TGGAGCCCAAATTAAAAGCTAACTATCCTTTTCATGGCAATACCTTTCTGGCTCTTAGCATGCAAAGCTGGAAGAGGCAAACTTCAAATGAATTCAGCTGCTATTGCTCCGATGTAATTTAGGGGGGCTCATAACAAAAACATGCCACACTTTTCAGATTCGAAATCCCCTTTTAAGGCCTTTTATTTCTTCCATTTAACAATGTTGGATACTACAACTATAAATAATAGTAATATTTTTGGTTTTCATATAAGAAAATGTGAAATATTACAGAAGTCGAAATAATACTGTATAATAGTTCCTTATAATGCATAATACTTTTATAACAATAGCATGATCTTCTTTTCTCATGATTCAAGTGAATAATATGTTGACCATGGGTCATGCAATAACTGAATACTTTTTACCTTACAGTATAATTTTTAAATAACAATGTTAAATTGTCTAATTTTTGAGGGGAAGTGTGCCGTAATTTTCAGAGGCAATCATTTCCAGACACTCCCTACATCTGCTGCTGGGAAGAGGCTCCATCTCAAGAATGTGGAGTTTAAAGTGGAATGTTATGAAATTCAATTTGCTTGAACGTATCTGAAATTGTTCAGGCTGCAGTCGACCCTGTGACTGTGAGATGGCCTGCCAAGAGTACAGGGAAAAAGATACTCTGTTGTTGACGGTGTCTTTTCATTTTTTCATTCTTAGTTTTTCGATAAATCAGGCCCAGCATTTTCCCCTTTAGGTAAACAATTTATCTCAGCAGCAAGTCAAACCTACTGACTGCCTCAGAGAGCCAGGACCAAGTCTAGGTCATCCCAAAGAAGGGTCTACTTTGTTGATTTTTAAAAGCAGTATTCACTAAGATCGGCTTATCTTTGTGGATCTGCAGAGGCTGACTTTACTTGGCACAGTTTGGATTTAGCCACAAGCAGGGTGATGACTTTGAGACCTAATAAAATCTCAAATTGGAGGAGGACATGTGAGAATGGTAAACCACGTGGAAATAGATTTTCTTGGACGAGCGTGTGTGCCCCGAATTTATAAGCACATGTGATCCAAAACAGAACCTTTTTGTCTAAAGGGTTCACATGATGGTCAGATCTTCAAATTAAAGTACAATTTATGGAAGTTGGTGGAGGATGAAAAAACAAATAAAAGCTAGAATGTGAAGCCGCCCGCTTGGCTTAACACAGGCCTCTGTGGCTTACCAAATGATTTTAATGGCCATATTTACATTTTTGGACAGTTTGTTTCTGTCTTTTCGTCACGTTCAGCAAAAGTATTCCATCTGGTGCCATAATGTTTTGGGTTCTTTTTCCCAGTGTCACAAAGATTGAATTCATTAACATAAAGGGTGTTTTACAGAACATAACCTCTTTTCACATGTTATCCACTTTATGCAGAAAACCAACATAAATTAGTGCATAATTGAGAAATGGAAATTTAAATTTTAGTCTATAAAGAAATTAAAAAGGTGTGTTGTGCATTTGTTTGTACCCCCTTTACTTTAATACCCCTAAAATAAATGCATATCAACTCAATGCATTCACAGTGTCCCCTGACATTGTGTAAATTGCTCTACAAGATGCAGTTTAGTCACTATATAATTGTCTGATTAATTAATCTCTGATGTAATCTGGCTCCACTGGATTTTATTCAAATTATTTTTAGATTTAGTTGGAATCATTAATTAAGTGTCAGAGCGAAAAGACCTGAAAAACAAGTCCAAGCTACATTTATCAGATTTGTATTTAAATGTTTTGAAATCCTTGCATTGCTTTTCCATCCACCTCACAGTCATGCACAACTTTACGTTGATCATTATCTCCAATCCAAAAGGCAGCAAAGACAAGAACGTCTGGTTTCTTATTAGTTATTATTCAGCTATGTATTTAATCTGCAACCTTTTTAGATCAGACTATGACTTTATTTTACATAGCTCTGAAGTACCCTTAAAAAAAGATAATAATAATAATAATAATAATAATAATAATAATAATAATAATAATAATAATAATAATAATAATAATAATAATAAT